AACCACCATGCCTGGCCCAGAAGTATTATTGACACTTTGGTAAAGGTAATTATTTGTTGGGTTGCACTTTCTTTTTTCATTTATTGGAATATGTTAACATATCTGGCCCTCACTTATCAAAGCTAATGATATACCCTCAGTCATTGTGATGCTGTAGAACACTTCACACCTTCCAAAAATTCCCTAGTGATATGAACTGACATAAGATTGAGAATTAGTGGTCTGGAAAATATCACATCATAATAAAAAGCCAGGCAAGTAAAACATTGTAGCACACACACAGTAATGAACAGATAGGTCAGTAAAACAGAATAAAGAGTGTATTAGTCCATTTTCATACTGGTGATAAAGTCATACCCAAGACTGGGAAATTTACAAAGAAACAGGTTTAATTGACTTACAGTTCCACGTGGCTGGGGAGGCATCAAAATCATGGTGGAAGGTGAAAGGCACATCTCACATGGCAGCAGAAAAGAGAAGAGAGAGAGCTTGTGCAGGGAAGCCCCCATTTTTCAAACCATCAAATCTTGTGAAACTTACTCACTATCATGAAGAAAGACCTGTCCCCATGATTCAATTACCTCCCACTAGGTCTGTCCCACAACACAAGGAAATTTAAGATGAGAGTTGAATGGGGACAAGCCAAGCCATATCATTCCACTCAAGCCCCTCCCACATCTCATATCCCCACATTTCAAAACCATTCATCTCGTTTTAACATTCCCTGAAGTCTTAACTCATTTCAGCATTAAGTCAAAAGTTCTTAGTCCAAAGTATCTTCTGAGACAAGGCAACTCCCTTCTGCCTATGAGCATGTAAAATCAAAAGCAAATTAGTTATTTCCTAGATCCAATGGGGATACAGGCATTGGAGAAATACAGCATTTCCAAATGGAAGAAACTGGCCAAAATGAAAGGGGCTACAGACCCCATGCAAGGGTGCAATCAGCAGGGCAGTCAAATCTTAAAGCTCCAAAATTATCTCATTTGACTCCATGTCTCACATCCAGCTCATGCTGATGCAAGAGGTGGGTTCTCATGGTCAGGGCAGCTCCCTGTGGCTTTTCAGTGTACAGCCTCCATCCTGGCTGCTTTACCAGACTGGAATTGAGTGTCTGAGGCTTTTTTAGGTGCATGGTGAAGGTTGTCAGTGGATCTACCATTTTAAGGTCTGGAGGACGGTGGCCCTCTTCTCACAGCTCCACTAGGCAGTGCCCCAGTAGGGATTCTGTGTAGGGGTTCTGACCCCACATTTCCCTTCTGCACTGCCCTAACAGAGGTTCTCCATGAGGGCCCCACCTCTGCAGCAAACCTGTGCAGCAAACCTCTGCCTGGACATCCAGGTGTTTCCATACATCCACTGCAATCTAGGCAGAGGTTTTCAAACCTCAATTCTTGACTTCTATGCACTCCCAGGCTCAATATCATGTGGAAACTGCTAAGGTTTGAGGCTTGCACCCTCTGAAGCCATGGCCCAACCTCTACATTGGCCCCTTTCAGTCATAGCTGGAGCAGCTGGGTTGCAAGGTATCAAGTCCCTAGGCTACACACAGCAAAAGACCCTAAGCCTGGCCCATGAAACCACTTTTTCCTCCTAGGCTCCAGGCCTATGACGTGAAGGGCTGCTGTGAAGACCTCTGACATGACCTAGAGACATTTTCCCCTTTCTCTTGGGAATTAATATTCATTTCCTCATTACTTATGTAAATTTCTGCAGCCAGCTTGAATTTCTCCTTATAAAATGAGATTTTCTTTTCTATTACATTGCCAGGCTGCAAATTTTCTGAACTTTTATGCTCTGTTTCCCTTGTAAAACTGAATGCCTTTAACAGCACCCATGTCACATCTTGAATGCTTTCCTGGTTAGAAATTTCTCCTGCCAGATACCCTAAATTGTCTCTCTCAAGTTCAAAGTTCCACAAATCTCTAGTGCAGGGGCAAAATGCTTCCAGTCTCTTTGCTAAAACATAACAAGAGTCACCTTTGCTCCAGTTCCCAACAAGTTCTTTATTTCCATCTGAGACTACCTCATCTGGGACTTTGTTGTCCATAACGCTACCAGCATTTTGGGCAAAGCCATTCAACAAGTCTAGGAAGTTCCAAACTTTCCCACATTTTCCTGTCTTCTTCTGAGCCCTTCAGACTGTTCCATCCTCTGCCTGTTATCCTGTTCCAAAGTCACTTCCACATTTTGGGGTATCTTTTCAGCAGTACCCCACTCTACTTGCATCAACTTACTGTATTAGTCCATTTTCACGCAGCTGATAAAGACATACCCAAGAACGGGTAATTTACAAAGAACAACATTTAGTGGATTTACAGTTCCACGTGACTGGGGAGGCCTCACAATCATGGCAAAGGTGAAAGGCACATCTCACGTGGCAGCAGACAAGAGTAGAGAGTTTGTGCAGGAAACTCCATTTTTAAAACCATCAAATCATGTGCAACTTATCCATTATCACAAGAACAGCACTGAAAAGACTTGCCCCCATGATTCAGTTACCTCCCATCAGGTCTCTCCCACAACACATGGGAATTTAAGATGAGATTTGGGTGGAGACACAGCCAAACCATATCAGAGAGTGTGAAATAAATCTATTATATATACAAATTTTGCTACCAGTAAGCATGATTTTTCTAAACATTAAGAGAAAGATTCATTCTGTATAAAATGGAGTCAAAGACAAAAATCACGTTAGAGATTTATCTCACCCAGTATATACACACACACATGCACATACATACAAGTTATGCAGATTGATTAAAACATTAAATATAAATACACACATAAATATCTGGAATAAACTATAGAAGAGTGCTTACAGAAACTTTACATAAGCAATATCTTCTGGAGGAAGAAAAAAATAAAAAACAATGATAAATTTGTCCACAAAAATATTTAAGATCTTATGCTTGTATACATCATTAAAATGTCAAAAGCAAAGTGGCCTGAAGAGAAGCAAGAAAAACATTACTGAATGATTAATATCCATAATATAAACTGTTCCTAGAAAAGATAAGAAATAAAAAATCAATTAAAAAAATAGTAACAAATAAGCCAAAGAAGAAAATATAAAATCAGTTTGACAATTTATTCTTTACTTTTAACTTTTATTTTAGAATCAGGGAGTTACATGTGCAGATTTATTACAAATGTATACTATGTGATGCTGAGGTTTGGAGTACAAATGGTTTCATCACCTAGGTAGTGAGCATAGTACCCAAAAGTTAGTTTATTTCCACTCTTAATCCCCTCCCAACTCTTGTATTCCTCAGTGTCTATTGTTACCATTCTTATGACCATTTATAAGTGACGACATGTGGTATTTGGTTTTCTGTTTCTGTGTTTGTTCACTTAGGATAATGTTTTCCAGCTGCATCCATGTTGCTGCAAATAACATGATTTCATCATTTTTAATGGCTGCATAGTATTCCATAGTGTATATGTACCACTTTTTTTTTTTTTTTTAATTCCAATCTGCCATTGGTGGGCACCTGGGTTGATTCCATGCCTTTTCTATTGTAAATAGTGACAAACATATGGGTACATGTATCTTTCTGGTAGAATGACTTACTTGCCTTTGGATATACGCCTGGTAACAAGATTGCTGGATCAAATGGTAATTCAACTCTCAATTCTTTGAGAGATCATCAAACTGCCAGTGAAAAAATGCTAATCACCACTAATCATCAGAGAAATGCAAATCAAAACTGCACTGAGATAGCATTTCACACCAGTCAGAATGACTTTTGTTAAAAAGTCAAAAAATAACAAATGTTGGTGAGGCTGCTGAGAAAAGGGAACACTTATACACCGTTGGTGGGAATGTAAATTAGTTTGACAATTTTTGAAACACACACACAGATGGACACACACACATATCCTGTAGGAATATTGCTTGAGAGCAGATGCAAATAAATTAATTTGTTAATTTGTAATGACATCATTACAGTATTAAGACCTCCAACACAGCATATCATTTCACTGAAAAAAAAAAAAAAATGTTTTCTGGGCATTAAAATCTCTAGCTTTCTTCAATAGAAGACTGATTTTGATTATTCAAAATGTCCCTTCAATAACATAACAGAAAAGCATAAAACAAAAAGACAGAAGGAGAGAGAGTAAAAAGTAGAGAACAGAAGGAAGGGAAGGGAAGGGAAGGCAAAGGCAAAGGCAAAGGTAGAGGGAGGAAGTGGGAGGAAAGGAAAGAGGGAGGGAGGGAAGGAAGAAAGGAAATAAGAAAAAGAAAAAAGAAAGTGAGAAAGAAGGAAGGGGGAAGGAAGGAAGGAAGGAAGGAAGGAAGGAAGGAAGGAAGGAAGGAAGGAAGGAAGGAAGGAAGGAAGGAAGGAAGGAAGGAAGGGAGAAGAAAAGAAGGAAGGAGTGAAGGAAGGAAGGAGGAAGGAGGGAGGCAAGGAAGGGAGAAAGGAAGGAAGAAGTAAGGAAGGAAGGAAGGAAGGGAAGGATGGAAAGATAGGAGAGAACAAAAGCAAGTAAACCTAGTTATATTTTGAGGAAATATATGAGTTTCAAGGCCTAGTACAAAACCTAATGTTGGGAGAAGAGGAATAATTGTTCAAGAAAATTATCAGAAAGGAATAAAAATTGAATTTCTATCCTCTAGAGCATTAATTTATAGAAGAAACAATTTACACCTAAATGTTTGTAGAGCATTCTTGGAATTAGAAAGCCTGTAACCACTTTGTTTTTCTAATATGAAAAAAAGAGAGGAAAAATACCTTTTGGAGATGCAAAACTCTGAATGTATACTATCTCCATATTTCTCCCTCTTTACTCTCCCATGTGAATTCAAAAGTATAGCTTAGACGACCAGAAGAAAAATCAAAATGATTTAAGAGTTTAATAGTACTGTTTTGAGCATTAAAAAGCAGGCTAATCAGATAACTAAGTCAAAATAATTGTAAATATATACTAGTTATACATTTTTAATTCTAAATTTAAAACTATAATGTAAACAATAACTAACTATAATAAACTGGGTTTATAAACTAAATATATTGAGTGATGGTTGGGTGGAAAGTTGAAACTTACCAATTAATTCTTTTAAATAGAAGACCTCAATAGATATAATTTGATTCATCAGGTAGAGCCCTGGGAAACATCTACATGTAGTGCATAGCAGAGAAGAGTAACTCGGTAAAGGAAACTGAGAAGGGGCAGGCAGACAGGAGGAGAGGATGACATCCTGCAATCCAAGAGACGGGTGAGGTTTCCAACAAGGGTTTGGCAGTGCCTAAAAGGTGAAAGACCAAATAAGAAAACGAAGTGAAAATTATACACTTGTTAATTATTATTAGTGACTTTACCAAAATAGAAGCAGATTAATAGATTGCAGTATCTGGGGAGAAAAAGAAAATAGATAGCACATCCAAAAACTTGAATTTTAAAGAGGAAGAGAAAGAGTGTGCTAAATAAAAGGAACCAGAGTTTGAGAGCTGTTGTTTGCTTCTTTGTTTTCATGAAGCAGAATTTTCTACCCTTGTGTAAAACAATACCAAGACCAGACTGTACCTAAGTAAAACAATATTGATGACAAGGAATAATAAACTCAGCCACTTCCTCCTGTGAGAGATGACTCTGAATCATCTAAAATAATTTATCTATTAAGACTAATACCTTGCCCAAAACTTGCTTTAATATTTGACTTGCATTGCTCACCAATCCAGTCATAAACTTTGCCCAGTTCCAACCAGTTTTTTACTTTTGAAATCCACTGCAAAAACATTCAGCCTAGGCCCTAAAACTCTATGAATACATACCTTACCTATCCTCATTCAGACACCGTGAAGATTCTGTCAAGGTAGTATTCTTTCTTGCTGTGAGCACTTACTGCCTAATAAGCTCAGCTTGACCTAAACAACTTTTTGGAGGTTGTAAGGAAGTAGTAGACGACAATTTGTTAAAGCTAAGAGTTGTTTGAATATGTTTAAATCTTCATAGGAAAATTTGGTAGATTCAAAATCATGGTAGACACAATCAGAAGAGTAACCCACACAGGTGGGAAGGAATAGGAGCGGCATGCAGAGGTAATGTTGTGGATTTAACCACAGTTAGGAGAAGAGGCTTCTATACCACTGTAGCAAGAGAGGAGGGGCGAACAAAGGCAAGTGTAAGCAATCAGATATGCCTGGTTGAGATAGGTAAAGGGAGAGTCAAGGAGCTAGCAGGTGTTCTGGTTTCTAGGTCACATAACTGCCCCTGTGATCCAAAGTCAGGACAATGCAGCCACCACACCCATGAAACTAATGACCCAACAGTGGAAGAGCTCCTGCCAACACTCACTCCTACCAGAGGCTGTTTTTCTATCAACACTGCCCCAATCAGATGGCATTGACTTTCCTTGTTTTTTCCTTCTATATTAGCATAAATCAAATTCACATCCAGAATGTTAATTACAAGGGAATCTTGAGAGTGTGTTGTTTGCTTTCCAAATTGTCCAAATAGATGGAAAGTGAAATAAAATGGGGGAAAAGGTCCAAACCAAGTATTAAGCACAGTTGATTCCTTAATGCAAACTCATCCTTGCCTCTATGATATGAATCCACATTAGTAATGCACTAAAATTTATTCAGGCATTTGTATCAGTAACCATACATGAGACTGATCTATAAATATCTTTTATTATTCTCTGTTAGATTTGCATATCAGTGTTATGATGCTTTCAACATAATATGAAAATATCCAATTTTCTTCTGTGCTCTGGAATACATTAGATAACTTTAGATTATCCATTTATTAAGGTGTAATAGAATTCATCCACAGATTCAATTGGGCCTAGTGCTATTTTAGAAGGTAGTGTTTTACAATTTCATGAGTTTGTTTTAATGGCAATGGTCAGTAAAATTTTGTAGCACTCTGAGCTCAAACATAGTAAATTATACTTTTAAAATCAATTTTATTCAGTTTTACAATATATTTTACTAGATTTGAACAGCTGTATTATTTCCTCAACGAGGGTTTAAATATTCTATGTTCTATTTTCTACAATAATCACCATATTTGTTTTATTCCCAGTCATTTGTGGTTGGTTTCAATGCTATGCCACCAGCCCCTTTGCCTTAGTTTCTCTATTCATTTCTTATTTGGATGGACTACATCTACCAATAGTTTCTTCAACAATGGTTAATAGAAACAATATTGTATGAATACTTGCATGTTCAAAATTGTTTGTTTTCCTTATATTGAAGGGCAGTTTAGCTGGGTATAGAGCTCTTTAGGCATATTTTCTTTTCCAAAGTCATCTCAGGCATTGATCCACAGATTTCAGGCATTAATAATGACTAATAAGAGGCTTGGGAGCCAATCTGATATTTTTTTCTGCATAAGCGCCATGAGAACATGGTCTTTTATCTGTTCTGTTCACCATTCTTTCCACAACAACTGGAATAATGTCTAACACAGAGTAAGCAGTCAACAAATATTTGCTGACTGATAGAGTAAGGGAATTGACATTTTTGCTTGAATATCTGAAAGACTTTATTTTTGTAGTCCGGTAAGTTCACTAGACTATATCTCTAGTTGAGTTTTTCCAAAGACATGGTGTTTCTTTTACTGCAGGGAGGGGTACTTACTATTACTGTGGCTCTCCTTTTTCTTCCTTTCCTAGTGATGATATCCTTGACAATCTTTTGAACTCATTCCCTTCCACTTTATTTTACTTTCTATCAAACATGTCCTCCAGGTGCCTTACTTTGCTTTTATCAATGGTCTTTCTCCTTCTTTGCCTTCTTCAAATGAGGCCTTACTTCTTTAACAGTTTTATTTTTCTCCTTTTTTTCCCAAGCTTAACAGATCATATGTCATCTACTTGCATTAACTTGTAAGGTATGTCTGACACCTTATTATGTTTGTATTATAAGAAAAAAAGCAAATGGGTAAGTGGAGGCAGGTGGTTAGTTTGGGGTTATCTGTAGCCATCTGAATTTATTAGTTTGGGACATTAATTCTGAAAACACTACAAAAGCCCAAGTATAAATCTTTAAAATACAAATTCTGTTTAACTAGGCATTCTGTGTTACTAAAATATTCACTACTGTCTTATTGGTTCTGTTTCTACTTTTTTAAAAAACAATGGGAAATCTTCAGAGAATAATTTGGGACTATGCAGTGTTTGGAAAATGGTTATCTTTAGTAGCATGTTATACTTTTATAAATGTATTAGCATTTCATTTTCATGTGCACTATATATAGTTAATATTTATAGGTGTGATAAAAATACATATCTAAATGAGGCATGTTATATCAGTATATACTCAAGCCTACACAACTCAAAAAAATAAGGAAAAAAAAATCCTTTGAGTGTACTTACACTTCGGTGTGCATGGCATTGGCTCTAAAATGTTTTTCACTTTTATATAAAGAGACTTCTTTATGTTAATTTTCCCCAACATATTCATATTTTCCTGCTTTCTGTAATGAGTTTTAAACCAAGTGATAAGTATTAACAAGTATTTTTTTTTTTTTTTTACTTTTCTAGGATGACTTTCCTGGATATAATAGGATTTCACATAGCACCAAGTTAATTTTTACTTTATTTTTTATAGGAGGTTCGTCCATGTTAGTCAGTATTCCAGAACTCATTTTAGAGATCTACATCAATGTATGCAACAGCTTAGTCAATATCTTCACTTAAATGTTTCAAAGGCAGGTCCACTGCACTTTAGAGATTCAATCAAACAATGCAAAAGCCAATTCAAATGCAATTTAAAAACCAAACTTATAGTTTCTCTTCCTTAAGCTTTGTCATTTTTCAGATATTTTTTAATATCAATAAATGGTACCACTGCACAGCCAGTTGCACAATCTAGTAACTTAAATGTTGTCCTTAGCAATTTCTCCTTGCCATATAACTCACACTCATTTCAGTTTATCCTTCTTCCCCTCATGACTGATCTCTGTTCTGTGACTGTTTAACCTCTCATATTTCACTATCTTCATTTGCACTAGAAACAACCCTATTTGAGCCACAATCATCTACCATATTACTACTGATGCTCTCTATTGGGACATTGCAATGTCCTAGTTCTGATCTCCCTTCTTACCCATCCCTCCTACATTTCATTCTGCACGTGGCAACAGGAGAGAACCAAAATTTAACATAAATTGGATTACATCAATCTCTGGTTAATGACATGCACTGACTTTCTTTTGCTCTCAATTTAAAGAATAAAGGCTTTTTATTTTCTTTATAAACTATGTATGATCCATCATTACCCACCTCTCTGTTTGCATCCTATCTCATTTGCCCTACTACGTTATAAGCTTTCAAGTTGTCAACATGGGACATAGGAAGTTTCTTATTTGTCAGGATATAGTGATTCTTCTGTCTGGCTCCTTCTAGATTGTAGATTCCCTAATGGAATGTCTGTCTTCTGCATATCATTATGTACTTAACACCTAGCACAAGGCCAGCGTGCAGTTCATACCAAATTAAGACAGGTTGAGTGAATAATGAATATGAGTGCATCTTCTCAACCAATAAAGTAGTGATTAATTTGGTCCATCGAAATTTTAATCAAAGCCCATTTTATTTTCATAGGAATTTAATTGAGATATTGGAAAACAATTAAATAATGTAATTGTTCAGCTTTTACCTGCATTTGTGATACAAATCATTTAAACATTTTATTGAGTAAACTGTTTTTCAAAGATTAAAAAACTGTTATTTCTGATCAACATGTATTGAAACCCAAGTATTCTCACTCCTGACTGCTCTGTACTCAATGATATCCCTAAACATAGACTTCATATTTAACACTAAAAGTTTAAAGTATTTCTTTAATTTGCAAAATTATTATTTCTTTAAACAAGCTATTGTTGAGACACAAAGCTATAAAGTTGGGATATTGTTACCACTGGGATTATAATACTGAAGTGTGAGATTTTGACAAAGGTGATATTTCATGCTGAACCACAAACTATGTTACTAGGTCCCACTTGAAGGCAGCATCTTGTATAATATTTGCAGGTCAGCTTTCTGGGTTTGGTTTGCACACTGACTCAGGCTTATGGATAAAAATGACTTCCCAATGTGGGAGAGCATAACAGAAAACATTTTTTATTAATATGCTCTAACAAATTGAATTAACTGAATCTCATGCCTCATCTCTCTTTTTCTAATCAATTTTAGATTTATTTCTTGCAGAATATTAGAATGTGTTTTCTCAAGGTCATGCATAGATCTTGATGAAGAACTTGGACTTCAGGGTCAGAGAGAACTTGATCTAAATCCTGATAATATCATTTAACAGGTTTATGAGTTCAGGAAGGTCACATAACCTTCTAAATCTACATTTCTTCATCTATGTAATAAAGATGATTGATAATAGTACCATTGTAGAAATAAACTGAATAAATATTAGCCATTATATTACTATTTATTTGACAATGCAACTTTCATAAGTAGTTTCCCTATAGATGTTGCAAATAAAATCAAACAACTCACGCTCCTAGAATTCAGTCAATGGATTCTGCTATATGCTCATGTCTACTCATGTCTACACAAAACTACTGAAAACGAATTTGATTCCAAAGTTGCAATTCGAAACAGAAAACCCGCTTTGCTATTTACATGACAATGCAAGGTATGTCTTTTCACAAACTCACCTTCCAGATGTGCTTAGCTTTTATAATACAGATCCAAATTACTGTAGATTGTGTTCCAAGATAGACTTCATAGACAACATCACATCACACAATTGCAGTAGGTGGCTCTTAAGAAAATCAAGCCCAAATAAAATGTATTTCTTTATGGGGTTATGCTTGTAACGCAAAATGTGTTTTAGGAAAGACTAAGTCTTGATGTATTTACTTCTGCATTTGGCCCTTTTCTTTCTCAATTTCAAACCAGATCCAGGTGGGAATATCAAAAGCTAGTGCCCATCCTATGTGTACACCTTGTGTGAGAGCATACAAAGATTTCTTTTTTTTTTTCTTGAGTGAATAAACTGGTATTATCCAACATCTCTTCCACAATACAAGTATGCATTTTTAAAAAGTGAAGACAAAACTTGACTGCACAGCATAATTATAAGTGGTAATACTTACATTTTCATCCTATTTTGCAGTAAATAAGCCTGTCAAAAATGGGGTTTAGTTTTGTGGTGTGCCTCCCTTCTGTACTGATACAATTTGTTTTGATCCTCTGCTGATGAGGATGGCTTTAGATAGCCATGAGCATCAGTCTGAAACAAAAATTAAAAGTCAGTATATTACATTTCTCCTTCTGTTCTTTCTGCATATTACATTGTTCCATAAGCTCATTGGTGCTGGAATTCTATCTCTCCTTTGGCACAATTTTCCTCTGTGGTATGATGCTATGAATATTTATGGTACAATAAAAATAATATAATAATGGGCATTTTCTAAACTTGTGCTGCATATATCTTCAAACAGAAGCTGGGAGGGCTATATCTGTTACCTCCCACTAGAGCAGATCTTTATGTCCTGTGGAATAGCTGACTGTCTCAAAGACCTTCACTTCCATGTGAGTTAAATGGCTTCCATACTGAAAAATTCTAAGAGAAATTTTCTCCTTCTGTATATAGTTTTGACTATCATCATCTCTGAAACACTGCCAGATTTTTCTTACATTGAGTAGGCTTCAATTGATATCCTTATTCATCCTTCCTATGTCAACTACTACAATTCATTCTTTTATAGCCACCTTAAATCTTTAGGCTCTAAAATTCCTGGGTCCAGAATGCTCTGAGTAGACTATTATCTTGCTCAGTGAAGCGGGACTGCTTCATCCTCACTCCTCCTCCATCACCTTAACTGACTGGATTTCTTTTCATTTATAAATTTAACTCAAATTGTTTTCTTTTTTTCAAATATACTTTAGACTTTCTCATTGCAGCCCATTTCCTTAGCCAGCTATCTGCTTAGCTACACATAATGCTCCTAATTCTTTCTTTTAAAATTGCCACATATCAGTCTCCCATTTATTCTCTACAGTCATAATTCTTATCTATTATATTAATATGATTAGAATTCATTCCATTTACTGTTAATGATCACTGAAAAAGTAGAGTTTTTTTTTCTGTGAACTATTTTTAAAACTCTAAGGTTCTCACCAAATGAACATCTTGATATTTCATTGTAAAATTTGGGGGAATACTTTTAAAGCTGTAAGATACCCACAAAATACTTCAGTTTTTGCTCTCTCTCTGTGTGTGGTGTGTGTGTGTGTGTGTGTGTGTGTGTGTGTGTGAGAGAGAGAGAGAGAGAGAGAGAGAGAGAGATGCAGAGATGGGAGAAAGACAGAGAGATAATGCTTTTAATATAAATATATTTTGACAGGGTAATGTTGTGGAGAGACAATTCTCCGTGAGTCTCCTACATTTCTTCATGTCTTATAAGCAGAGGCACTGTCCAACTTTTCTCAGGATTATTATTTCAAAAATGTTAGTATAGTAAACAGCCTAAGTAGGTAGAGAGAGTGTCTTTATCTGAAGCAAAGGTCAGTTCTCTCTTTTTTTTTCTATTTGCTCTATTTTTCTTACTGTTCAATATAGTAAAAACATGTTTCTCTTTGTGTAAAAATCAGAGATGCTTTCTGCCCACTCTGGAAGATTTGATTTCCCTAACTCATGCTTCCTCTCCTGTAGGGTAACTTATTGCATGTAAAGATGTCACCTGAACCTTGCTGTGCTATCCTATGGAAACTGGAGCTTGGAGAACCAGTATAAATACTGATGTACTGGCTATTATAACCTCTGTAAATAATAAAGCCCTTTGTTTCTTATCCAAGGCTTTATTACTTTTTTTTTTTCTTTTCTCTGAGTATCCATGAAAGATTGACAGCATAACTTGCTAGTTGAGAAAGATCAAAACCCTTCAGTTTTCCTGGGAATTTGGTGGTAAAAATGGGATGCTGACATAGGCATGTTCTCTGTTTGCAAAAAGAAAGATTAGGAAGGATTAGTCTTTGGGCCAACTAATAGGAATAGAGGGAGGTTCATATATGGTCACCTGCATAACAGTGTCCTTCACTTCATCGACTTTTAATTAAAGTGAGTTGAATAGATAGTTTCAGACAAAGCACTGGGAAGTAGGTACAAAGACAACTACCCTGCTAATTTTTGTGTGAGTGGATGAAGAGAGTGCCCTATGTGGTGATAATCCTCACCTCTGCAGCTTTGTAATAACTAGTAGTAAGATTGTCCTGGGGTTTGACACTAGAAAGTTCTGTCACCTTTCAGACAACAGAGATGCACTGGGGAAGAATTGAGGGAAATTTATTACCACTATGTGCAGAAATCAGGCAAACCATTAAAATTGTGTCTGGTTCACTTGGGAGATGAAGGAGTGGGGCATATAATGCTACTAAGGAGGAATAACAACAGATGAGTGTTTTATGGCTTAGTCTCTCCTGTAGTCTAGACTGTCAAACCTAGAACCTTTCAGGGTTTTGTCGTTGTTGCTATTGTTGTTGTGTGTCCTGACTTCTATGTGGAAACTCTGGCTCTCTGAGGAAGATTTCCGAAACAAAGGCAGACTCCTTGGGAAAACGACAGGTGAGGCATTAGCTACTATTTACTGCATGCACTGGATGGACTTTATAGTGATAATGAAAGTGATCCACTAAGGAATGGGAAAAACACCCAAATAAATCTAGATAAATTATTGCGGGAAGCCATGCCATCATGGAAAATTATCCTAGGCCTTATGTTGAAACTACACAATCTTGATCTTAAGAGATGTTATTTCTTAAGATATTAAGAGATGTTATTTTGGCAATGGTACTGCAAATGTTCTAGAGTAAGGTGGACTCTAAAGAAAAAGACACCACTCTGTACATCAAATCTAAATAATCCAAAGGAAATAAATTCCACAGCCCCAAACAGAAAACAATGTGGTAACTGAAAACAATGTGGCTGTTGAATCGAGGGGTCCACAAAGCTAAAATAGATGGTGTCAGTAAGGATGATGTTGCTGCTAATACAGGGCATTGGGTGGACTAAAAATATTGGAAGTTCATTTGGTTAAGTTATATGTGGTCACCATTCTGCTCACAGTTGAAGATAAATATGTCATGCCCTCTCATTCTTCCTTTTCCACAACCACATTCTCAGCCTCTTTATGAAGAAATATGATTTTGGGGTAAGTTCTATGCATTCCTGTGCAAAAGAAAGACCTGAGGCCATATGTGCCTGTCTCGGTATGCTAGGTAATTTGGGGGAAGGCAGGAACTCAAACTTACACGGCTCTCTTGGGGAAAGGTGCCCAACTCAGCATCTTGTTGGGGTTCTGTGTGTATAGAGATGCTCCAATTCAGTTAACGAGATTTTTGGGCTGGGTATACAGTGGAGAAGAGCAGCTAATACGGCCTTGTGGATACCACCGTTTGGGCAAATTTAATGTATATTTGTGGTTTTCATTTTCAACTTCACTGTATAATGATGTTAATGGTTTATATATGGATACTATACATTCTTATAAAATCCTTACTGAATTATACCATTCAGAAAGTGCTATACGGAGAGAAGGACTAGTAGGACATGGAACTCATTTCCCAATTAATCTGTCTATCCTCTTCAGGATAGTCTGACAGAAAAAATATATAATCCAAGGAAGGCACATGTAAGTCACAACCTTTATTAAGGTCTTAAAGGAAGCAAAGATAGTAAGACTTGCAAAATTTAACAATCCCACGTGGGCAATGCAAAAGACAGTGGGAGATGGGGGCTCACAGGTTGTTGATAATTGCAAAATTTATATCCAGTCATTGCTGCTACAGCCTCAAAAGCCATTGCATAGACTGAAGACACTTGGTATGTTATGTTGAATATTGCCAACACTTTCTTTTCTATCCCACTGGCACCCAAGGACAAAGACCAATGTGCCTTCACGCAGGAAGGCCTCTGATATACATTTGCAGTACTCTAAAAGAGGCACCTTGCCATTTGCTATCAGGGGGTGGGCCAGAATAACATTAATGTCTCCATAATCTGATGTCTGAAGTTTTCACTAAACAGATGATATCCTGCTGGTTACTAGTCAGAATTCTCAGTGTCCAAGGCCCTGATTGTTGTAATATTACATTTCTACTAACAAGGGTGGCTACTGAGGTTTAATACTTCAATAAAATGTAGGGACCTGCTAGCCAAGGAGTATTAATATTTTGGCCCTATATGAGTGCATACTAAGGCTCTCAATCCTATTGGCTGTCAAGAAAAAAAAATAAAACCTACTGTGTCTTTGCCACATCATCTCCAAAAAGAGATCCAGCAATTTATTGAACTCTTTCGATACTGGAGATAGTACATGCCTCAAGTAGCATTCTGCTTGGAAAATGATACTAACTAGTCCACAGATAAGCATCCATTGAGTGGGGCCCAGACCAAAAGCTTATGTTTAAAATTGCCCAGTGAGCTTTGCATGTTTTCTACACAACTGATATCTTTGAACTATAATTCTCTGTGGCTAATGATTTTGATGATTGCAGTGTTTGGAAAAGTGAAGCACCCCTATACCCACAGGAGTCCCTTGGGTTTTGGATTCATCACCTTGGTGGCACAGGTGCAAAGTACATATCTTTTGAAAAACAGCACTTAGTTTGGCATGGGACACTAGTCAAAACCAAATACCTGATCCATGAAGGTTTTGTGACTTTCAAGCCTAATGTTACCATTTGGGGTTGGATTAACTTGGATTCAGTGATGAACAATGACTGACAAGGAAGGGTTCGACAAACCTCATTTGTCAGATGAAGGTAATACATTCAAGAATGCTATTGGTTTGGACCCAGTGGCATCTTTGCCTTTCATTTTCAAAAGAGGTTAGTATCTCTTTGAGGAAATCTTTATCCTTCACTCTGCCAGCTGAAGCAAAGTGCTTTCATAATGAGGTCCTTGCTTCACAGAGGTTCCCCTAAATTCCTGGGCCTGATTCACTGAAGGCTCATCTCAGCAGGAACCTGACGGTGTCCTCTGGACTGCTACAGCTGTTTGACTGCAATACCAACTATTCAGACTGAACATGGACATTGTTCCTCAATTCAGGAGGATAATATTCCCTTTGAATAACCTTATTTTATGTTTGCTGTCTCTTGAGCTTTTGCTAATGGTCTAAACTACTTGTTCTCCTACCTGGTAAATTGCAGACTGACAGACTTGAGAAGCCTCTCTTTAGGACCACAAACTGTGGTAACAAATCACCCTGCTGATAGAACCATCTGGGT